TTAATCATAGGGTACATACCTATATCACCTCGATGTATGAAAATATAGACTCTCCGCGAGCTACTAGATAAAGCCTAGCCCATCAATTAGCGGTACCGCGCATCCGCAGTTAGCCGAGGGTTTGCACTTTAGTGCTTTTCATTTTAGCTTGTTTTTCTTGTAAATTGGCTTGTTTTCTGTAAAATTCGAGGTGTATACGGTAAAATCAGAAACCTTGTTTTGGGCCAAATCATGGTATAAAAATAATAAAACCACACAAACATGAACAATGTGCATTAGTGACTTTTCTTGTGTTAATTATACGAAATATTCCTATCCTGCTGTGTGGTATAAATCAAGGAACGTGTAGATATTATTATGAAAGGGTACATTGTGTATGTACTGTACAGGTCCAGTCATTACAATGGCCACTCTCACTGAACTGGAGGAAGGGGAAGGATATACCCACTGATATGTTACGGTGGGCCTCTACAGTTGTCATCAATGGAATGGTGTACTGTGGAGGTAATGATCTAGATTCCAATGTTGTCATTCAGTACAATCCAGAGAGTGGTGACTGGAGTGAGCTCCCCAGATCTCCAGTAAAGGGCTTTGCCATGACCTCACTCAATGGTCAGCTGGTACTAGCTGGTGGTCTTTCTTGTGATACTACAATCACAGTGTGGGACAGTGGTCGTAGTAAGTGGGTCCATCCTTACCCTCCCATGCCTACTGGACGAGTGTTATCAGCTGCTGTGGGCTACCAGAACTATCTCATAGTAGCATGTGGGGTCTATCACATGAGTGAAGTAGACATGTTTGACAGCTCCAGTGGTAGATTGTACAGTGCACAGCCAGTACCTGTGGGGGGTCATACGATGTCTTCAGTAGTGGTAGGTGATCGCTGGTACTTGTCCTCTTTTGGGTTCTGGGAGGATGGGAAGGAACACATATTCTGGGCCCATCTCCCCACTGTGACATCCAGTGCTACATCAGCACAAACTACCACTGAACGCATTTGGCATGAGCTGCCCACACCTCCGGTAGAGCAGCCCACCCTATTAGCCCTCCAGGGACACTTGCTATTGGTAGGAGGGTTGGGGTATGTACATGAGATCCATCACTATGACCAAGAGACTAGACAATGGAGGGTGTGTGGACAATTGCCAGTTGGAATGTATGCTCAATGCTGTACTGAACTACCATCTGGTGACCTGATGGTGGCTGGAGGATTGACTTGGGCAGTCTCCGAGAGAATGTGGATAGCTAAGATTTAGAGATCTTTGTCATAATAAATATTATGTATACCTGATTTACTAAAGAAATTTCATTTGTTACACATTGACACTGACAACTAAACAAGTCTGATCGATGAAATATACAACGCAAAAGAAACTGAGCAAAAAAAGGACTAGTAAACGGCAAGGAAAAGTTGACAGACAAACTAAAAATTAACAATTAAAAACTAGACAAAAAAATAAATAAATAAAAAATAAAAAACACTTTTACACGAAATGCGCATGCGCAGAATGTTGAGCGTGCGCGTGCGTAAACTCGCCCACTTTTTCCAAGGCGGGATATTGTCATAGAGCTAGAGTGAGAAGAGGGAGGGAGAAGAAGATGGAGGAGGCAGGGAGTATGTCTCTGCGGGCAGAGCTGCAGGTGATACTGGAGGACCCGGCCAACTTCTACAACGTCGTCATGAGCAACAGATGTGTAGGCGCGCGCATAACTTGGTAGCAAATTTGATGGGCGGGGCTCGTATTTCCTGCACGCATCTCGTCACCACGCATACTTATCTTGTTACTATACCGACAAACGCACACGCTTATCGCAGACGCGCGTTAGCATTGTAGCTAAGCGATCGCCCGAGATGACTCTTCCACACGTGACGACTTTACGGAGATCATGCGACAACTCAGAGCCTAGCCAAGTATGCAATTACTTAGACTTGTAGTATAATTATACCGCATAATATTACACAGATAGCCACGTGGTCTGCAGATATAATATTGCAGAAGCTATAGTACATACTCTAGTTTTCCATAATGATAAAAAATATTGCCGCGTTAAACACCTTGAATAACAACAACAATGACAAACTATAACACAATGATTGAAATTTGGAGGAAAAAAACTTGGTATATACCCAAATGAAAACTGGGTAGCTACCCAAATAAAAAGTGTATATACCCAAATGAGAACTGGGTACCCTAATAAAAAAAAGTGTGTACCCAAATGAAAAGAGCATACCCAAATGAAAAGACCATACCCAAATAAATATACCGTACACCCTAATTGAGCGACTGCACACCTGTGTAATTTTGACACTGATCTCACAACAACCGATCTTTATATTGTATATACTCCCTCGGTCTGTCAAACTGCTTGCACACCAAGGAGTCTCTCTGTCTGCAAGTATTAATGGGAGAGGATAATCTGATTCCATGACAAACGCAATTATCCCTCCCAAGATAACATATTATGTACGCCAGCTGCAGTGGGGAATGAATAAAAAAACATACCTACATATCCCAACAGGAGAGTATAAGGCACAGGTGTGCCGGTGAGGGTGGTGAAAGAAAGTCCTCTTAATGCTGTCCAATGTTTGTGTGTTAGCAAAAAGACCCCCCTTAGAGCTCATTTGTACATGTTACAGATGACTCGATTAGAATTCTGCCTGGTGGTTTTCTCTACAGCCCTGCCATTTCCCACGAAATGATCGAGACCTGCATACACAATATAACTTGTAGTAAACAAAACAGCCCAGGCTTCTGTTTCTATCGCCCTGCTCTATTATAGCCCTGCCAAATCCCATGAAAGAGACCTACATAAACAACATTACTTGTGGTAAGCAGCCAAGGTTTCTGTTTGGAAATTCAGTGTTTCCACAGTTGTTCAGAGCCAGGTTGTAGTGAGTTCTGAAATCTGATTGGTCAATCAGAGGAATAGCTACTCTTTCACTTAGTAGTCTTCTGACTGATCAGAGGACTTCTACATAATTATAAATCATCCCCGAGGCATATTCCATTGTTATCATGCGCAGAAACGTGGCTCACAATACAGAAAATTCAAGAAGACACTAATGAGCTCTGCATAGAGTGTAGCTAGCTCGAGACGCAGCACCCCTAACTGCAGGCAAGCTAACAGAGTGAAAAAGAGACGCTTATTGGCTCTGCCGTAATTTGTTTCTCCTTTCCACAAACATTTGTTTGTTAATAAGCCTCTCTCCTGTAATCTCTCTCTTTTTTCTGTCATTCCAATACCATGTTCTCTCCACCTCTGTCCGTACTTCTGCCTCAATTCTACTTTGTCCATCATGTGCTTGCTTTTACTACGGCTTGTGTCTCCCTCCAGCGATATGTCTACCTAACTTCTTTTCTTCCCATCTCTAAACCACTCACTTGCTTCAGTCTGTCTTCCAGGACCCTCCTCTGTGCCACAATGTTTCTCTGCAGAGCCTCGTAGGCTGCCTTGAGACCCACCACCATCTTGTCTCCCAGAGCAAGAGAATCCTCTGGCATCACTCCCTGGCACAGACTGTCACTCATAGCCCAAACTGCTGTCAGGTCACTGCGACGACCTCCCACCACCCTCTGGAGCTCCTGTGACAGCAAAGTAAGAGAATATTCAGTCAAAATGTGCATTTGAACTTGGAGTATGAAATCCAGTAACAATCTCATAGGATTGCTGAAAATATACAGTGGTACACAGTTGAAATCTCAATGAGGCAGTAGCCACGGCTGAAAGTAAAAGGCACTTAAGAGACAAAATACTTAGGAATGATACACTACCATATTGGTTGAAAGAGTATCAGAGGTATGCAGTGTCAAGTTCAGCCACAACCTGCTGTCATTGGCAGACTCTGACACAAACTACGAGAAAGGATAGGAGGATAGAATGTGTATGTGTACCTCTACTTCAGTGATCTGGGCAGCGACCCTATAAGGAACACCAGCCACTGCTTCAGCTCTCAGCAACTCTTCGTCCTTCGCCTTTACCCAAGCCACTGTAGTACAGAGAGAGACGCAGAGTGGGATTTGTGGCATTTGGATAACGCTACAAAATGACCAAATCTTGTCAAATAATGTAAATACACTTACTACGTAGGTTGCACAACCATATCAATTGTAATGTAAGGCTCTAGGTTTGATTCCTGGTTTGAATTTAAGCATGCTGAACATTCTACATGCCTATGTTTTTTTCCTGAAGTGTGGTGAACATTCACATTTTCTACTACATCATTGGTACATCTATGGGGAACTCGTGGGTTTGTATTGCCATTCTGTAACTGTAATTTATCTGTCTATAAACCTTGCTTTGATCCCCAACCTCACCCTTTCATCCTCAAGCAAACTAGCAATTTTGAGACACATCATGTAGTTATGTGTGTGGCATGACTTTCCCAGTCTTTTCTCCTAGTATGACATTAACAGTCTACAAACCTTCAGTGGACTCAGTGGGAGGAGATTGGTTGGCAGCAAACGTGCTGGCCAGTCTTAGAGCCTCTGAGACTGCTGGCTGCAGGTCAATGTACTGCTGCTACATCACCTGACAGACAATACAGAGAATTAAATTTCTTAGCTTTGAAACTCCTAACCATCACCCAGAGAATTAGTAAATTTGAGACTCCTAACAGGGAAACTTCTCACTTCTCTTAAAAGACCAAAACCGAGTTTTACTTCGACTAGGTGTGGGTGACTGGCTAATCAAAGCCTGTGTTACTTGAAACTCACGGAAAACTCGGTCCTTTGTTTCTCGATGTCGGGTGGGAGGACCCTGGGGGGAGGATGGTTCTCCAGTCTCTCCCTCCACTCCCCCTCCTGAGCCAGGAGCTCCTTCAGTCTCCCTGCAGTACTGCCCACTCTCTCCAGAGTCTCCTCCAGTTTAGAGATCCGACCGTCCAGACTTGCCTGTGGAGATAGAGAGCAAACACCTCTGCTAAAGACTAGATGACGAAAGCCACCACAGAAGCTGGCATGAAAATCAGTGTTTGCAGCATGTGGTGGAAAGAATAATTGTCAAAGTTAACATAAGCACGGGACCCCTAATTTGGATTACTTCCTTGGGCCCACATATGCTATAAGTGCACGATTCTGCTGCAGTGATCGTATAAGAGTGTACTGCATCCACGCTCACTCCCTGTCTGACAGTATTTCGAGACTTTTTCTGGATCCACTTTTAATTCAAGTGAAGTGCTTCATCATTAAGCTCTCTTCATTTGGCAGGTGAAGTCCTCTATTGTTTATAATGGCTCTACGTACTACCTTTCATAATGGGTTCGCCTTATGGAAGTGCTTCTCTGCTAATTCTACTCACAATAATTATAATACTATGTATGCTTCATAAATATACCACAACAAGCAGAATTATGCGGAGAAATTTCAATCACTCTCTTTCACAAAGGGTGCAAGAGATTAAGAAAAGAAGGCACGTTTATTGTCAATCTGTTGCAGGATTAATATCACAAATTGGAGATGATTTAAGAACTTGCAAAAGTATTAATGCTGTTGTGCAGTTTGCCCTTGTTCACTAATGGCCAACAAAGGTAGAGAAATATCTTAGCTCTGTTTCACTCATGGTCTTCCATAATGCAGTGTGTGCACTCGACGAACAACATCAACGCAGGCCTATCAGTATTATGCCGAGGGAAGCTATCAAGTATCTTATTCCTGTGGTTTTCTGTGGCTGAGCACATGTTACCGGTAGCTACACAAATTGTAATGTGCAATGGACGTAATACAAATCTCATACTATACTGCTATTAAAGTTATATTGGTGCAAATAGTAACAAAGATAAAAAAGGACTTGTTGTAATGCAATAACTGTTAAAACCTTTTAATTTCCAGCTCTTCCTACAATTCACAAGTTCGATACGGTACAAAATTTGTGTATGATCTAGAAGTTGTTTGCTGCAGTGGATACAGCAGTGTTGGAGGGGATTGCTTACGTAAGTTTCTTTGTGACTAACTTAACACCTAATAAGACTGTCGCATTGCAGCAACATGCCCCAACTGCCCCTAGTCCCACTCATGTCTGGCACCTTATTTCTGTGCCTGTTCAGAGAACTGGTCTGGTGAAGGATGCACAGGTGAACACGCCACTACTGAACTATCAAACTGTTATACCTACTAATTTCTTGTTCAAAGCATCCACAGAATGTGGCTCTCACAGCAACTGGGCCCGACACACTGCGGTTCAGTTGGTCACCACCTCCACAGTTTCAGGCAACTCTCTATGTTGTCATTTTCCAACGTGTGACCTACCAGTTTAATCCATCTAGTGATCTGGTCATTGACCTGGACTCATTGAATACATACACAAGATACACCTGCTGTGTAGCTGCTAAGACTGCGTCTGGAGCGTCGAGAATAGCCTGTGCCACACAGACAACTCTGGAAACTGGTAATTCGAGTGTATGTCAAAAACTCACGGACGTGCTGTTTCAGGCCTTGACAATATCCTCATGAAACTTATACTGCCCCTTCCGCCCCTACTGCCCCTTCCGGTTTCCGCTCTGAATCACTTCTGGAAAAAGGGCAAAGATGTTTGTGGAATTGTCGTGTACCTAATACATACGTTTAACTGAAGTTTAGAAGAAAATCTAGTAACACTATATATTTCCTCATTTTTCATTTTAAAGCTCCTGGAGATGCACCACGGAATACGAATTTGAAAACATTGAACTCCACTGCCATACGCATCCAATGGGACCCTCCTCTCACTCCCAATGGTATCATCATCCTTTACACCGTCTACATCAATGGCATTCCGATTTGGAACGTTCGTGGCTCCTATGGGACACAAAGCACTTCCGTTGGTGGTTTCACTCCCAACCAAGTTTTGCGTGTTAGTCTGTCTGCTAGTACCAGCCTCGGAGAAGGGCCTAGGACTGCATCTCAGACCGTGACTACACATGAGTCAGGTGTGTGTCGTCTTCAACTAGCTACCATTACTTTGCATTGACTGTTCTATGTGTGGCTATAGTTCCTGGTTCAGTAGAGAATCTGAGAGTACTTCCACGCTCTGGGTATAATACATCCTCCGAGTCACTTGGAGTCCTCCAACCTACACAAATGGAGTCCTCATTGGATATACAGTTGTGGTCGCGAACTTAGCGGACGCCACGGATACCATCCGTAATACCACTTCAGACTTCAGCCAATTCACGGCAATTGATTATCGACACAGGAATTCGTAAGTTACTCTTGATGCTTACCAGACCAAACACAACAAGGAGTACCATGGTCTAGGTAGAGGAGTTTGCATGTTTCATTAACACATTCTGTAATACAAAGCACTAGCTTTCATGTTTTCGACCTGAAAACGGGTGGACAGTCACAACACGCTGTTGTGAAACACACTCAAGCTATTCATACTGTTGGTCTTGCACTGATTCCTAAATACAACAGTTGCATTGAGTTGGTTACTTTCGTCAGCATACACAGCTATACCTATACCCCCTTGGTCAGTCCCCCACTCCACAAACACACACACACACACACACACAACACAGGCCCCTATGTAAGATACAGAGTTTCAATGACTGCCTCTACCAAAGTAGGACCAGGTGACCCAGTTAGAGAAGCATTGTATTCACAGCAAGGAGGTAGGTGTTATAGGCTACTTTTCAATTGCTGTTTGGGTCACTTCATTCTGTACTATGTAGCTCCACAGAGCCCTCCTCCAAATGTAAACAGCACTCGAATGTCAGCCACCACTGCTAGTGTAGAGTTGGATGGGATAAGCTGGGAGGACCTGAGAGGGTGGCTGGTGGACTATGAGATTGGGTATAGTAGTGCGATGATGTCTGCCCACCAGCAGTGCCCTGCTAATGACTCCACCTACACTGAGATTCTGTCTGTTGATAATGAAGGAGAGTATGAATTGACTGGTCTAGATCCAGGACTGCAGTACTGTGTAAGACTGGCTGGGAGGACCAGTGCTGGAGCTGGACCTTTCTCACACACCCTCATTCCATGTACGTGTGATAATTATAGTCAATAGCTGGTCCACTTTCTTATTTCATATTTACTAAAGGGTACACAAACAGTCTTTTCACAATCACACTTGAGAGGGAAAACTGCACAGAATGGATTGTAAGTCAGAATTTTGTCTCCACATCAACACCACTAAATCTCCATACCATTCAGGCAATGGAGCCAGCAGAGATAGCTCAAGATATTGCCAAGAGCGTGAGCAACGGGATTGAACTCACTTGTAACTGCACATTCTCCAGCGATTATATTACAGACAGACAGCTAAGTTGTCAAAACAAGAACCTGGCATTTATGGGCAGGATAATAAGTACTCTAGATAGGGAGAGCACTGTTCTCTTGGAAGACTTTCAAACGTGGCTCATGAGTGAATCAACAGTAAAAGCCAAGAGTGAACAACTCAAACTCGCAAGGAACAGAATCAGCAACGAAGAAACAGAATCAGCAAAGAATGAAACAGCGACGTCAGCTACTGCCAGCAATGGGAGGGTAGAGGACGAAAAAGACAAGTCTTCTCCAAGTGGGTCAAGTATTGTAGGAGCTACAATTGGAGGAGTTGTGACTGTTGTAGTTCTACTGCTGGCTGTTGTTGTGTTCATCGTAACTGCAGTTGTGGTGCGGTGGAAACTCAGGTGAGTTAGACAAGAGGAAGGTTTAATGAAATATTGATAGCTACATGTCAGTTTATCTTAGATGTTTACTTACTGCAGGAGTAAGTCATCTGTGAAGTGCACACCAGTCAGTATTTTGGATGACAAAACCAGCAGGAGTTCCCCCCTTCGAAAACACTCATTCTCCTCATTGTTTTCCAATCATGGAAGAGACAACACACATCCCCGTAAGACGCCTCTCAAGCCAACATTGACGACACCTCACAATCCTCCAAACACACCACCAAAGCCTCCAGCTAAACCTCTGCGGATATCAGCCAAGACACCTCCGGAGCATCAAAAGCTACCATTCGAGCCATTGAAAATGCATCCCAAGCCACAAACCCTACCACCTAAGCCATCGCTCAAGCCTCAAACCCTGACGCCCAAGCCATTGCTCAAGCCTCAAACCCTACCACCTAAGCCATTGCTCAAGCCTCAAACCCTACCACCTAAGCCATTGCTCAAGCCTCAGCCACTAACACCCAAGCCACTGAAAATACCACTGAAGCCTCCATGCAACAACCTTAAACCTCCCGTGCCTCCAAAGATAGTGGCCAAAAATATGCGGAGGCTCCCACCAGTCCCATATGAACTGCCCGTCGCTCAACTTGAAAATGTGTACGAGGATCCTGATAAAATGGAGGCCAATGGGGGAACCACAAGTCTGCGTAATGCTGTATATCAAGGGGCCGGACGGAGAATGAGGGCAGAAGACATTGAGAAGCTCTACACTAAAGTGAAGAAAGTGAAGAAATGAGACAAGGATACATAACTGCAACAAATAACTAGTATTAGCATGTATATTGCACAAGAGATTGCACACAGCACAGCTACCCCCACATATTAAAAGCTCGCTTTGGAATTTCCTCGTATTTCAACAGGAAACTGTGGGCGATCACGCGCGCGCGCACTCGCTCGCGTCTCAGCCACGCCCTCTTTTTTTGCGCAGTGCCATAATTATAGGGCCGCGCGCGCGTGGACGTATATCCTCGCAGAGGGCACGCCTAGCGTGCAGTCGCCGTTACCCGGACGAATAGTCCTAGGAAAGTTTAAAAAATTCAACACCCCAACTCCACGGGGAGGATTAATCTACTGAAGAGCCCTGAATTGTGAAGCCTTATACCTCTGCTTATTCTTGCACTACACGAGGCTACGAGGCGGTCCATTAGCGATACCAACGGCTTAAGAACTACAAAAGGGCGATATTCCTGAAACGACTGCGTTCAAGAGCGAGAAACTGGACGGTCGCGGACCGAGTTGCGTGGCCCAACCCAGCAATTAGCTGTGAGCATGCGTATATTATGCACAGCGCGGCTGACCTCGACCAGGTCCGCTCGCTCTGTGTATCTTGAAGGCACAAGAAGTCACAACGAAGGGCGTGCATCGACTCCCACATGCTATCTACTACTGTAGCTAGCCCGTGCAGACTCTCCGCGAGTTACTAGCGGGAGAAACGCATACTGATAGCCCGAGCCCATCAATTTAGTGGTATGGCGCATGCGCAGTTCGCCGAGGGTTTACTTTAGTGCATTCTGCACGGTTTGCTTGAACACAAATGAATCTTCTTACTTTGTCCTGGAGGATACCTAAGAATGATAGCTGCACAGCCTTTGCTACTAATGTTGCTGTTGTGCCGTTCAGGTCTACTAACCACTGCCCAACAAAGGTAAGGCACAGAAGTGTCATTTAAGAAGAAGAAGAAGAAGAAGAAGATGAAGAATAATTATGATGATGACACAAAAATCGTGAAATCGCGTATGAGCGAATTCTCGCGTGGACGACTGAAGGTGCCTATGAGGTCTTGGGGGACATATTATATAGGTAGATATGGCCCGTAGACTCATGCTAGTATGTTTTGAAGGCCTAGGGAGTGATTCTCACCGAGTTTTTAGTCGTTTTGTACGCGGATCACGTGAGATTTCACCCGCGACGTCCCTTTGTACGTAGAGAGTCTACCGACTCTCTGATAATATCTCTGTCTAAAAATCTTCAGGAGCTATATAGTGCAGCAGTATAGCTGTACTCCACCGCGCCTGAATTTGCAGGACCGGTTTCTTACGCCTAGGTGTAGCTCTCCACAATTACCTGGCGCAGTTTGGCAGTTGAAATTTTGAGGGACCGTCGCGTTGGTTTCGACGTGGTTAAACATTTTGCCATGGCTTCGTCTCTCCCATTCTCCCTTACTCAGAGTGGCTGAGTCGATACACGATAAACACCTGCCCAAGGGTCCTAGCTACGCTAGACCGTATGCACGAAAGTCCGCACAAACGGGGTGTTTTCTTGTGAAGGAAGGTTATACTTGATGCCTATAAAGCACTCGTGGTAACAAGAAACGTGCTTTATGATGCGGTTTGGCATACTTTATCTGGTCCTAACACCCCCACTGTTTACATTCCTCAATTTAGTGGAATGTATTATTACACTCCACGGGCAGCAGATATTCCTGAGAATTGTAAGTCGGCTTCATTTCACGCAAGCGAATCTATCATGCAAGGCTTGATTATGAATCCTGCAATGAGATTGGCGAGCTCAGTTTCAGAGCTCAAAATGAACATTATACCAGACACCCTCATCCCCGGGTGAGTGGAGCGTAGACTGACGCATCTTGTCTCGTTTCTTTTTTATGGAATGTTTAATTAACCGTTTGCACTATTTAGAATTGTTCAGTTATGGCAAGTGAAAGCTACATGTCTAGGTGAAGCATGAAACATTCACCATTGTGTGTTTCTAGGAGCTATATTATATCTTTAATAGAAAGGTGACAATGTTTTTCTTTTGCTAACAGGAGTAGAAAAATTGCCATTCTATGCTACCATAATAAATTTGAGAGTGCGGCACACTGTAGGGATTATGTAATGGATTGGGTGGGTAAGGGGTGGTATGATTGTGTTGGTGTGCTAACATGCTGTTCCTAAAGAATGCTTTAATTCCCATCGCATCTTGTCTCGCTTCTTTTTTATGTAATGTAATTAAATAACTGTTTGCACTATTTAGAATTGTTCAGTTATGGCAAGTGAGAGCTACAGATTATGGAAGCACGTAAAATCAAACACATTGACTGTGGAGCTAGAGCAAGCCTGTATAGCTATAATATCTCTACCTTAAAGTCTTCAGGAGCTAGTGCAGCAGTATATAGCTGTACTCCACCGCGCCTGAATTACAGGACCGGTTTCTTACGCCTAGGTGTAGCTCTCCACAATTACCTGGCGAAACAGTTTGGCAGTTGAAATTTTGAGGGACCGTTGCGTGAGTTTCGACGTGGTATTAAACATTTTGCCATGGCTTCGTCTCTCCCATTCTCCCCTACTCCGAGTGGCTGAGTCGATAAACGATAAACACCTGCGCAAGTGTCCTAGCTATGCTAGACCGTACGCACGAAAGTCTGCCCAAATGGGGTGTTTTCTTGTGAAGAAGGTTATACTTGATGCCTCGAAAGAACTCGTGGTAACAAGACACGTGTTTTATGATGCAGTTTGACATAATATACTTCTTCTGGTCCTAACACCCCCACTGTTTACATTCCTCAGTTTAGTGGAATGTATTATTACACTCGACGGGCAGCAGATATTCCTGAGAATTGTAAGTCGGCTTCATTTCGCGCAAGCGATACTATCATCATGCAAGTCTTGCTTATGAAACATGCAATCAGATTGGCGAGCTCAGTTTCAGAGCTCAAAATGAATATTATACCACACACGCTTTTCCCCGGGTGGGTGGAGCGTAGACTGACGCATATTGTCTCGCTTCTGGAATGTAAATAACCGTTTGCAATTGTTCAGTTATGGCAAGTGAGAGCTACATGTCTAGGTGAAGCGTGAAACATTCACCATTGCGTATTTTTAGGAGCTATCTTTAATAGAAAGGTGACAATGTTTTTCTTTTGCTAACAGGAGTAGAAAATTTCCATCTATTATGCTACCATAATAAATATTTCAGAGTGCGGCACACTGTAGGGATTATGTAATGGATTGGGTGGGGAGAAGGGGTAATGGGTAAAAGTCTTCAGGAGTTATATATAGTGCAGCAGTAGCTGTACTCCACCGCGCCTGAATATACAAGACCGGTTTCTTACGCCTAGGTGTAGCTCTCCACAATTACCTAGCGAAACAGTTTGGCAGTTGAAATTTTGAGGGACCGTCGCGTGAGTTTCGACGTGGAATTAAACATTTTGCCATGGCTTCGTCTCTCCCATTCTCCCTCACTCAGAGTGGCTGAGTCGATAAATACCTGCCCAAGGGTCCTAGCTACGCTAGACCGTATGCACGAAAGTCCGCACAAACGGGGTGTTTTCTTGTGAAGAAAGGTTATAGCTACTTGATGCCTATAAAGGACTCGTGGTAACAAGACACGTGCTCTATGATGCGGTTTAGCTACGGAGAAGAAACGTTGATCATAGAGCGCCTGGTTGTAAACAAGAAACATGATGGTTGAGACGGTTTCACACGCTACAGAGTTTACGGAGAAGAAACATTATCTTCGATGTGTTGGAGGGACTAACGACATACTAAACATGATCTTCTTGATGGTTGCTTCCCGCTAAAAGGTTTAGCTATGGGAGGTCCGGGAACGTCGCACCGAGTGGGAGCGTGCACTTCTACTGATTCTTTGTGATACACCTGATCTTTGATACTTCCCGGACACTATAAATTGAAGGCGAGAGCACGTCCGCACATCTCTCACAGCCCCTGCAAGCAGCCTTGAACGGAGGAAACTCTCATCCCCGACGGAAAATGCTGGTACTCGTCCTCGTTGCTGCGGCACTTGTTGCCGCTTCAAGTGCATGGCCTTCGGAAGACTTCCAACCTACAGAAGCATACCTGCAGGGTGAGCGTAACCTCTCACTTCATGGATACAGTGGGTTTATTTTTATGAACAGAAGAGATGGACTACAAAGACAGTGATGCAATTGTTGACCAAAACCTAAAAGGTATAGCTATATACAGTGCAATTTTGCACATCCGATTTTGTATGTACCAACTGATTCTTACTAGGAAATATTACAAAGATGATAATAGTGTATACATTGTTTAATATTATTTTAGAAGTGGGATACAAAAACAGTGAAATGATGTACGATCCAAATCCAGCACACCTTCAAGGTAATTCTTTTTGATGACCATTTCTACAGTACCCGAAAACATGAACTGCTAGCTACTATATGGAATAGTGTTACATCCTATCTTAATTGCAGTTTTCGGCCACCTTAAACTGACTGTGCCAACATTAAAGATAGGGCAGAGCATTGAAGTGGTGTACATTAACCCTCCAATTGGAGCTCTCTCAATGAACCTTGTCACTGAAGCCGGTGATGTTGCCCTCCATTTCAATCCTCGCTACTCACCCACTGGTGGCTACCTTGTTCTCAACACCGGTGCAATCCATGGCGGATGGCACAATGAAATTCATCCTGCTGGGTATCCATTTCCCGCTAGTAATGTGAGGACAAGGGTAACCGCTCGCATCACCGTCCAAGCAAATGGTTTTCTAATATCAGGTAATGGTATTAATATTGCACATTTCCCCTACCGTGCCGGGCTCAGCTACAACACTGTTCGTCACATAACCTGGATCACTCCAGCCAATACCATTCTGGAGTCGATGAAAGTCACATACTAAGTGGATATTAATCTGAATGGACAGCCAACTGTAGATAGTTATGAAACAGTGCGTAGTCGCAGCTTAGTTGTAGGAGAATTAGATTTTGCTTTGACATTATTTTTGAACAGTCATGAAAGCAACAATAAACTGTTCTGCAGGCGCAAAGAATATTACCGTATTTTGCCGGAATATATTCATCTCACATGTTCCATTGTTATGTAACACGGTTGTGGTGCATAACTCAAATGGCACATTGGAGGCTTAGGCACGACTTTAAACGATCGGAGGACATTTCTTTACTGTTATATACAACAAGACTAAGAGAGTAGAAAGTGTTCTTTCTTATTACAGGTCACCTTTCTTTGTCATGCTGAAACTCAACCCAACGTTATGACATAATATCAAAAAATCGTTGATGTTGATTACTACGTCACATGGCTGTCATGTGGGGCAATGAGACAAACTGTAGAACAGGATTTCCACAAAGTCCATGATTTCTCCGTTCAATAACTATAATAATAATTATAATAAAACAATGTGGGTTAGCAGGAAGTCTTTTGTCTTAGAACAACGTACACTCAAAATGGAGGAATAAAGCGATGTTCTAGATAATTATATAGGAAGACAAGAATAAGAATGGGATGCATGGTTTCAGCTATATAGGAAGACAAGAATAAGGATGGGATACATGGTTTACGAACAGACAGGCACCCCGACCCACAAATCATTCCCAGATGTTCCACCCATCGGGGAAAGGAGCATCTGGTGACATTGACATACTTTTTCTGGCGAGTGTGTGGCAAATTACGGTTTTTGGTAATTACGTGTTTTAATCAACACCTTGGACGCCATGGGTGTCTTGTGAAATAAGCAGAATTTTATGTTGTATTAGCGCCTCTGTTTAGTTTACGTGGAATTTAATTATTACACTCAACAGGCAACAGATATTCCTGAGAATAATATACTTCTGTAAGCATATTCATATAGCGTATATAGAATGATAAACCATAAACTGTTGCCTAGGTGAATCTCTCGTCATAATCACTAAAGTCTAAAGTGCAAACCCTCTGCAAACTCAGAGGTACCACATGCGTGGTCTCCCGCTAGTATATAGCTCGCGCAGAGAGTCTGACACGCGCTCTAGCTACAGTAGTAGATATCATACGGGAGTCGATACACCCCCTTCGTTGTGACTTCTTGTGCCTCCAAGGTATACAGAGCAAGCGGACCCGGCCGAAGTATATAAGCTTGTGCTAAATTGCAATAACTTCTGATTTTACGAAAATCGGCAGTTATAAACCCTCGGCGCGCAAGCGCAGCGAGAGTTACAGTACTTGGTCTGTGTGTGCGTCCGTTTGTCACCTGCCACTACAGAGCGATGCCAACGGCTTCAGTGCCTGAAAATGAATATATCATTTTTCCTGAAACGACTGCGTTCGACGTGAAAATTACGTATAATATAGCGAAAAAGACAACGTGCATATAATAAATTATAATCGAGCTGGCTTACTGCGACCTGTTCTATTCGTTCTGTGTACTTTGGAGGCATATGAAGTCACAAAGAATGGCGTGTATCGACTCCCGCATGCTATCTACTTGTGTAGCTATCCTATGTTCAAACTTAGCGTGGAGACCGCGAGTGGAAACCATTAGCGATACCGCGCATGCGTCGTGTGCCGAGGGTTTGCACTTCTTGCGCTTATCAGGGGATGTGTATGGCCTCCACAGTCCAGTTCTCCCCACAGGCATTCTAAAACTCTTACAACAACCTTCTGCGCCCTTAATTTTAATCATGACTGAGATTCCACACCTTCACCCATACAGTACAGTATTAGGGTCCCGAAAAAATAAGAGTTGGTGAGTAGCTAGCTATCTCACTAGTAGGGGAGAGAGGCGATCGCTTGATGTTTGTGTGGAATTTCATAAAAAATTATCTACATTACAATGTGATAGGCTAGGGCTGCACAAGCAAAAAACACTGAAGCAGAAGTGGGTAGCTACCCTGGTAAATAAATACATGTAATTTTGACCACTGAGCTGCCACGTGTATATAGTGAAGTCGACAAAAGTGTTTGGTCACTTTCCTTTCTCCCCTTTTCCTTCCCTTTCTCCTCGATCACCCCATAAACACACACACACGCACACACACACACACACACACACGACAACTACAATAACCCTTGCTGCGCATGCGCGCCGAGGGTTAATAATCTCTTACACGACCTGTCATGGATTCTAAATCATTGTGTAGAGTTTCATTTTTAAAATTTTCTGTTCCACGTCTGTTCTTGTTTTCCTTCAGACGTAGCTACGCACACTCACTCATTATTGTATCCTTGGGAGATTGGGAGCAAGATGTGTCGAATATTCTGTACCTAAGCCTGTTATAACTCCTACAAAAGGGATGGAACGTGAAGAAAGTTCAGCTGTAGATTAAAGCCACATGGAAACTAAGTTGACAGCAGCGGCGAGATGTGGGTATTATCGTATCTGGTATATATGCAACTCAAGCAAGCACAGTGTCCTATCATTTGTGTGATATTTGGTAGAATATTCTTTAGTTAGAGTCTAGTGACCGACATTCCACACCTCTTCACCCACCATGGAACATTATTAGTGCATGCACTCGCAAAAGGTAGCTGTCCCACTTTAGTATAGCTTATTTTCTGTTCCATGTCTGTTCTTCCTTTCCTTGCGACGTCACTCACACATTATTGTATCCTTGGGAGGTTGGGAGCGAGATGTGTCCATTATTCTGTATCTAAGCAACTCCTACAAACGGGAACATTACATGTTCGGGAATCTAGGGGACCTATCGCTAGTTTGCAGTCCCGGGGGATTGAGTTCGCTAGCGCTCCAGGTACCAGCATTCTTATGGTGTAACGCTGTCCTGAGTGCGTGGACTCCTGCTACTCTAGTGGGGGCTTTCCTTGGCGGGGCGTTCGTTTCTATTCTCCCTTAGTGCCGCCGGTACGGATCTCGTCCATTTTCGCGCCTCCCGGTTCCGGCTTATGGTTTCATTTTTGTGTTTTCGCCCTCACGAAAGCAGTTTTGGGGATGTTGTTGGCCTTCTTTTTGTTGTGGTTTCCCTCCATCCGGGCATTTTTGTGGAATCAATAGGAGGCGAACTCTCCTGAGTATTAGTAGGGTGGCTCTGGCTTCTTCCCAGTGCCGGGAGCAGTGTTGATTTGTCCCTTTCCTGGGCGCGAATTTTGATTTCATCCCACGGGATTCCCATGCTTCTACCTGGTTGTTTCGCCGCAGGTGACACCGTTAAAATCATCTGCATCTTGTTTGCTAGTTTTCGATTCTTAGTCCCACGGGGAACCCTACTTGTCGGGTTATCCTGGTTTTGTTATGGGACCTATCTGGGGAGTAATTTTTCTTGCACCCCCCCATGTTGGGAATATTCCTCCATCTATTCCCCGCCGGGGTAGAATCCATCATGGTTCACCCGGGCATCTAGGGGGAATTTTTCCGTGGCAGAGCCGGCGTAGAAAAATTGTCTGCATGCGTGACAGGGAATGGCTGGTATGTCCTCCTTTACTTTCTCGTTGTTTGCGCCCTCGCTCTTTGGGGGTGGTCAGCTCCACCGTTCTCCCCCCAGGCACTCGCTGAGCTCTAGGTGGGCTGTTCACCCCCTTCTCTTTGGTTGGGGTCGGCTTAGGGCGGTGGAACTATCTTTCACTCATAACTGTATCGGAAAGGGATTACTTTCTTCTACCCTACCTCCAATTGCCAGGGGGGGCGTAGGCACTAGCTCGCGCTCCCCTACCCTATAACCTATGTCGGACGGCGAAACAGGGAACTGTTTGACTGGTTCACTCTGTCTGCCAGTCGGGGCTGTTGGATTCTCACAAATTGCGCGGGGGCTGGGAACGATCCATGCTGGGCGTGTAAGCCTAGCATTTGTCGTTCTCCTTTGTGATACTCTTTCCGGTGGGTTATCAAGTGGGTTGCTACTCCGTCTGGTTAATCCTTTCTATCTATGAGTGGTGACATATCCCTCTCTGCTTGTATGCGGGACTTTGTGATCGGGGGGACGGTTGCTTCTCCTCGCTGCGTACGGCCGGCGAGCCTCTAATTACGCGCCTTCTTAAACTCGGGGTTCTATGTGGTCTTTCTTGCGTGTAATTTGAAGGGGCGATTAACTCTCGTTGGTCTTCGGTCCCTTATTCGTTTGGTGGGTGGGTTTTCTTTCTCGTCCGGCTCTAACCCCTAGGTTACGGCACTTTTACTCTGGTCGCCAAAACATCAACACACCAAAAAATTGGAGGAAAAGCCCCACCACTACAAACCCACCACCCACTATACCACACGGTTCTCGCTAATTTAACCTTCATATGGGACCAATACACCGGTGCGACAATTCAAATCGGTGAATTTTCAGCAGAAATTGCGGTCCAGGTAGATCCGGGCAATTGGCGGAACCATTCTGGGGAATGGGTTCTCCTTTTTTTCATTTTATCGTGGTTTAATCCCCCTTTGGTATTCATCTTAAAATTTCTGTAGGTAGTGGTTCATTGCCTTGAGTCTTTAGGGGGAGTAGCGCGTTTTTGCGGGGGTAAGGGGTCGTGGGATTATTCTTTTGAATATATGCAGGGAAGCTCACCGTTGAGGTTCTTGAGGGTGAGTTTGGGGAGATCCCTTGCCATCCTTAACAGGTAGGTTGGGAAGCTGTTGGGGAATCTATTGGGGAAGTTTAGGGGTTCTCTTCGGGGGATGTATTGACGACTTTTCTCATCTAAACGCGGGCATCGCGTGCGGTCAATTTCCTAGCCTCAGGTCCCCGGGGGAATGTGGATCAAGGGGAAATTGTCAGCGGTTGTGGGTCGGGTTGTTGGACACGGGACCCCTAACTAGTGTTATATCTGGTAGTAATTCGGGGTGGAAATGAAGGATTGGAATGGATGGAATGTGAAGAAAGTTAAGCTGTAGATTAAAGTCACATGGAAACTAAGTTGACAGCAGCAGCGAGATGTGGGTAATCACATCTGGTATGCGACTCAAGCAAGCACAGTGTCCTATAATTTGTGTGATATTTGGTAGAATTTTCTTCAGTTAGAGTCTAACTTAATCATGACCGACTCTCGAGATTCCACACCTCTTCACCCACCATGGAACATTAATAGAGCATGCACTTGCAAAATGTAGCTGTCCCACTTTAGTATAGCTTATTTTCTGTTCCATGTCTGTTCTTCCTTTCCTTGCGACGTCACTCACACATTATTGTATCCTTGGGAGGTTGGGAGCGAGATGTGTCCATTATTCTGTATCTAAGCAAACTCCTACAAATGGGATGGAATGTGAAGAAAGTTAAGCTGTAGATTAAAGTCACATGGAAACTAAGTTGACAGCAGCAGCGAGATGTGGGTAATCACATCTGGTATGCGACTCAAGCAAGCACAGTGTCCTATAATTTGTGTGATATTTGGTACAATTTTCTTCAGTTAGAGTCTAACTTAATCATGACCGACTCTCGAGATTCCACACCTCTTCACCCACCATGGAATATTAATAGTGCATGCACTTGCAAAAGGTAGCTGTCCCACTTTAGTATAGCTTATTTTCTGTTCCACGTCTGTTCTTGCTTTCCTTCCAACGTACGCACACCCACACATTTTTTCATCTTTGGGAGATTGGGAGAGAGACATGTGGATTAATCTGTACCTGAGCCTGTTTATTATTTCATATTTTTGTTCTGAACGGTCACGCTTCATGAAAGTATGTTTGTTTAGTGTGTGGGTGTTTGTGTGTCCTATCATTTGTGCGATATTTGGTAAAAGATAGAGTTTAGGCAGAAAACAACACTTAACCATGACTGATATTCCACACCTTCACCCACACAGTACAGTATTAGTGTCCCGAGTTGGTGAGTAGCTATCTCACTAGTATAGGGGAGAGAAGCGATCGCTTGATGTCTGTGTGGAATTTCATAAAATTTATCACAGTATGTAAAATATGTATAGCTGAGGGCAACAAACAACGAAAACCGTTCATGAGGGGGTTGAAGCAGGAGGGACTATATATGTACTATAAAAGCATGCAGATTATCACCAAAGACTCACGTTTATTGTCAGAACAGCAGGAAACGAAGTTTGAGAAAATGAAGGGAATAGCTCTTGTGATTTTCATAGCCCTGCATGACATTGGATTGTCTTGCCCCAGTCAGGACACAGCTCCACTTTACCGATACTGGAACTCAAAAACCGTTGACCATTTTTACACAACTGATGCCAACGAGATAGGAACAACTATCCCAAACCGCAAAGGAAAACACGGATACATTTATGAAGGGATCCAGTGCCACCTCTACACACATCAAGTGGAAAGTTCGGTTCCACTATATCGCTACTGGAAACGTTCCAGTCGAGACCATTTCTATACAACCAACCCAGAAGAAATTGGAATCACTATTCGTGGACAGACCGGAAAACATGGATACAAAAGCGAAGGTATAGTTGGCTACTGCATGTCGTGCAAAACACCGAAAACTGTGCCGCTCTACCGCTACTGGAGGTCCAACAGAGCAGACCATTTTTACACCACTAACATTAAAGAGATTGGCACAGCTGAGCCGGGAAGGAATGGGAGGCATGGATATAAGTCTGAGGGGATCACGTGCTACGTTCTGCCAGGCTAAACATCTACCGCAGTAACACAATAAGACGTAGTGAACAGCTATATAGTTGTTGGTAGATTAGTAAACTGGTAGTGGTAGTGGTAGTTTATAATCATCGCCAGTGGTTATTGTGAACAATCATGTGTAGTATTGATGATGTCGATGCAGTTAGAAACTTTCACTCTCAATAAATCAAGAGGAATTGTCTATTAATAGTAGTATAGCTAGTGTGAAAAATTGCATGTGTAACGTTAATGACGTTGACTTTTAATGGGGAAACTATCGCAATTCACTCTGAAACGAGAGAGAATTCCAGAGGGATTATTCAGTAGAACCTAAGAAAACGGACCTCCACAGCAGGTTATACACTACCACGATTTGCGTAGAAAAAACGTTCCGGAATAACTAATTATAGTGAACAAACCTCACAATCCCCAAGACGTAACCTGAACAACACTTTTAATTTTTGTTGACATGTGAAATTCACTGAGCTATTGCGCATGCGCATGCAGGGTTGGACAATGTGTAATCTCCCACATGCACAATAGGACAACGAGCCTATTTACCTTCCTCTCCACCCCTAACTATGCAATGTTCTCAGTCTACCTGGTGTGGGAGCAACATGTGTCCGGATTTAAACACAAGAAAAAGCCAGAGCTAACGTTACTCATGTTGGCATCACATGGTATTTTCTACGCATGCACAATCGGATGAAATATGGTGGCATAACAGGGCCAAGAAAAACAGGTTTGGCTAGCTTAGCTTGCCCAAAAACATTCATAATAATTACAATTATACACTGTGATAAAAAGACAGTATGTACATACACTGTTGGTGACTTAGCTGAGTGTGAAGCGACATCATACAAAAATAGAGTGATAGACACCACAGCGGGCTGTTAGAGACAATTGCTGGTGCAGACAACAAGTGCTAACATTTTTTATTCACATGGTGATACAAACGTGTAGAAGTAGCTTATGTAACTCATATCGGGGAGAAAAGAGAAAGGGAAGGGAGTGGGTGTCTTACACCAAGGACTCGTTTCTGTGCTGTACCTCGGACTTTGCCCGACCTCTCATTCCTAGGTCTGGAGTATAAGGCCTCCTTATCCCACTGGCGGCTGATTCAGAGCGGACGTTGTCTCTTCGTCGCTGCAGTTTCTCACTCTGTGAGGATGACTTGCCTTTGACTCTGAGTTCCTCCACTCCCGTCTTGCTGGAGATGTTGTACTTCTCTTTTCTCCGCATTTCCCTGTGCTCGCTGACCGGGGTGCCCCCTGCTGCAGCGTCAGTAATTACATTTGTTGCACTCTTGCTGCTGCCGGTACAATGAACACCGTCATCCCTATTTACAGGTCGTCTGTCAAGATGAGAGGCACTCTTGCTACCAAGATGAGTCTTTTCCTGACTGTCAGCGGATGCGTGGTTGGAAGCAGTGGCAGAGTTTTTGCAGGGAGCAGCATTGCCAGTATCATCATTTTTGCTCTGACTTGGTGATTGAGATCTTGCACACGAAAGACTGCTGCTGGACAGTGGACTGGCTGCACGTTGTACTCTCCCACCTCTAGTGCCATTAATCCCCTTGTAGAGCTCTGCGATGTCAGCTGTAACGTCTGTCGCACTCCGACTCTCCTCACCCCCCTCTCTACCCTTCATCTTGTTCCTGGGTAACCGAGGCTCGCTGTGACTCCTACTCTCTCGCATATCTCCATCTACCACTGCTGTTGGTACATGGCAGTTCTCCCCCTTTCCCTCGCGTACGTGTGTCAGACCCAATTCTCTCCTAATGCCAGTTGTAGTCCTGTAATTGAATTGATGGAATTCCTCTAACGGCGTGTGATTCCACTTGTTTTTCATCCCCATGTCGGCCCCGAGGTCTGTAAGAGTGGAGAGGGCCTCTCGACAGCCAAGTCTAGCTGCACAATGTGATGGAGTGTCGCCATCCTAATAAGGGTGACAGTGTTTACACAGGTATCTGAGGTCAACGCATGCAGGCATGTGCATGCACAGTCTGCCCCACTGACATGCTGCGCTGGCACATTCCAAAGTCAATTAGGTGTAAGTCAACATTGGCCAGTGATGCAATAGTTGTGTATGTGCGTGGTGCAATACCCAGTTTCTTCTGACTTGCCTAGTATAGCATACCCTCTTCCCTTACTGTGGTTGTATTTACACCAGCTACTGAGCTATCTCTGTGTGTTCTCACAACATCATTGCTACTATAATATAGGCCTTGTGTATAGGGTCTAGGGCATTACAAATTGAGTGTCCATTATTATGAAGTGGCTGTTGTCTAGGAGACCAAACACCTATGGAGACAGTCTACAAATGTCTACTACAATGATAGTCAGCTGGTCCCTCTAGAGTAGAAGTGATACTTTGTGAAGTGTGTGACCAACAAGCCAGGCCCAAGGTTAACTTACAACAGTCTGTGGCTCCTAATCTGAATTGCAAACCCTCGGCAAACTGCGCACGTGCGGTACCACTAATTGATGGGCTGGGCTTTTAGTATGCGTTTACTCGTGGTATCCCCGCTAGTAGCTCGCGGAGAGTCTGACACGGACTAGCTAGAGTAGTAAATAGCATGCGGGAGTCGATACACGCCCTTCGTTGTGACTTCTTATGCCTTCAAGATACACAGTCAGAGCATGCGGCGGTCGAGGTAAGCTTGTGCTAATTAGCATTATAAGCGCATGCGCATTTTCCGCAGCGATAAAAAATGGCCGACTACGCATTAACCGTACAATGCTGGAGGGCTGTAGCTCTGCAACGGAGAATTTTTCAGAGAAAACCGCTCATAATTTCTGACCTTCATTACCCGTTAAGTACATCGCATCGTTTGTGAGACGAACAAACACTCGAGAAGTGAGATGTCGAGTAACAGACAGACACACACACAGACCCAAGTACTGTAACCCTCGCTGCGCATGCGCGCCGAGGGTTAAAAATGTGCAAGAAAAAGTTTGCGACTCACAAATTTAAGAGATAAACATTCACGGAGTGCCTGTCCCACAATCAATGTCCCCACAACATTTTCTGAGAAAACGTTAAAAATCCACAAAAGTTTTGTCCCTTGAAAGTTTCTGCTACCATGAAACTACGTATTGTGTAATGGTATGTAGAGCCAAAAGGTAATTATGACTGACTTTGTTGTGTGAATTCAGGAAATCCTTGAAGGAACTGTTGATCCAACGGATGAGTTGGATGGAGCCACTGGCAGCTGACAGGTGGAGCACACTGTTCCCTTTCCTGTCTCTCACTTTCATATCAGCTCCACTGCCTACAAGGAGCTTCGCAGACTCGAGGTTTCCATTGAGACAGGCCAAATGAAGAGGGGTCTCCCCTCGAGACGAGGGGGCATTTATGTTGTGATGAGTGCTGTGTGATGCTAAGAGCTGTCTAAGGATTTCTGTGTTGTTTGCTGAATAGTGGAAGGATGTGCACCCATCCTTTAGGAGAGGGAGAGAGTGAGAAAGAGAGAGGGGGAGAGAGGAGGGAGGATGGTTGGGGAGGTAAGGGGGGAAGAGTAATGAGAGAGGAAGGGAGGGAAATAAGGGAGAGGAAAAGACAACCAGTGATAAAAAGTGAAGACAAAACCTGTATGTTATACATGTGTATTGAGTGAGATAGTTGGGGGAGGACAAAAGAACTGTAGAGTGGGGAGAGACGAATAGAAGCTAGGGTTACATTTGAGAGGTATCAGTTTGGCAGACACCTCCCACCTGGTTCCTTGTATATGGCCTTTTTGGTAACAAATGGTGCATGGAACACATGTATATACTGATCTTAGCTTTCTATATCATGTTGGCTACTTGATGCATAGTACGCTAAAAGAAGAACAGGTTATGAACATGGGTTACGAATTAAAAATGTTGACCAGCAAATTCGTGACCAATGAAGAACCAACAAACCCATTACTTGATCCACATTAAATGTATTGTGTTGAGACCAGCTTTTGCCTAGAGCTGTACTGTAGCTAATGAAAAGCACTAAAGTGCAAACCCTCGGCGAACTGCGCATGCACGGTGGGCTGGGCTGGGCGTTTACTCGCGGTCTCCCGCTAGTAGCTCACAGAGAGTCTGACACGGGCAAGCTACAGTAGTAGATAGCATGTGGGAGTCGATACACACCCTTCGCTGTGGCTTCTTGTGCCTCCAATGTACACAGAGCAAGTGGATCAGGTCGAGGTGAGCCAGCATACTGCGTTGATGGCAACTAATACACTCATGCGCACCACTTATTGATGGGTTGGGCCACGCAATGCTGTTCGCGACCGTGCCAGTTTGTCGCTCTCGAACGCAGTCGTTTCAGCAAAATCGCCAATATACTGCTAAAGCTGTTGGTATTGCTCATAAGCCGCCTCGTAGCCTGTAGTGCGAGAATAGTCACGGACAGACACACACACACACACAGACCAACTACCGTAACCCTCGCTGCGCACGCGTGCCGAGGGTTAAAAATGTGTACCATGTGGCTGTCAGTTATACTGATAGTTGTTTATTAGTAAAACTGACTCATACAAACTGTGCTATATAATTTCGTGACTCAAAACTTAGTCTTAATAAAGTATCAAGGCAGTGGTTACCTACATTATCAGCAACGTTGGGATCTGATCCATGGCCGAGTAGCACCGCGACTTGTGATACATTGCCCCAACGACATGCCTCGGCCAGTGGGAAAATCCCCTCCTAGAACACAGAGGTAGAAAACCCACTTTATGCTTCAGTGGGCCAGTGGCTGAATGCAGAAAATAATGCTACACCAGACACCATAAAACAGTAGCAGGTACATTGACATATCTACTTCCAACGTTGTTGAGGCGGCCAGGAACTCACCTTACTCCTAATAGAGCGATCTGTGGACATGGGCAGCTACAGAACGCTAACCCTGTAGCAAATAAACGGAACAACGCACGAGTGACTCGTCCGGGACTCGTAAACTACACAAACTACACAACAGACTACAGTACATACAAACACGTCATAACATTGTCATGAGCGTATAATACAACGTAAAGTTCCAGCTATCTCGTGTCTCCGTCGCTTACTGTCACTAGTGAGTAGAGCAACTTCTCATCGACCAGTGGTGCTGCCGTCTTTCAGATTTTGGCCACGTCATGCCGCTCGGTTGCAAGCTTGCACACGCAACACCTCTTACAAATTACGTCACGCTGCACGTACAGCAAAAAGGAGGCAGGGCTGCATAGCTCCGCCCCCCACCAGAGGAGAAGGGCTCACGTGAATTGCGCGAAAGAATTCCAATTAGAGCGGGTGAAAGAATGCAGGGTCAGGTGGAGGTATTGAAGGTGCATATTTTGGTGGAAGGAACCGACTACTAAGGAACCACGCGGGGGCGTGATTTCATTTTTTAACCCCGTCGTCGCGGTCATCGCTTGTGCTGCTTCCCCATGATTTCTCTTCATAGCAGAAGCTCAAACAAGATAGGATTCCCATTGACAGATAAAACTTTCAGTTATCGAATGTATAAGCTATACAAACACGCAAGAAGTGACGTTCGGAGCAGAAACTGAGCTTTAGTGGGAGGAGCTCGACACAATCCCCATCCGTGTCCGAGAAAAACTCGGAAGATACGTTTAGTTAGCTGTCTTTAGTGCAGACGAAGGGGCTTAGCATCTTTTGGGAGGGATTCAGCAATGCGGAACATACGTTTAGTGGGGAGGGGCTCTCAACAGCCAGTTTTAGTGCAGAAGGAGGGGCTCAACAGCCCTTTAGTGCAGTGGGAGTGACTCTCAACAACCTTTCTAGTGCAGTGGGAGGGGCTCAAAAGTGCAGTGAGTATCAGCAGTCTTTAGTGCAGTGGGAGGGGCTCAGCAGTCTTTAGTAGTGCATGCAGTGGGTGGGGCTCAAGCAACCTTTAGTGCAGAAGGAGGGGCGGGCTCAGCAGCCTATTTAGTGCAGTGGGAGGGGCTCAAGCAAACTTTAGTGCAGAAGGAGGGGCTCAGCAGCCTATTTAAGAGGGGCTCAGTGCTCTTCCACTGCACCTAGTGCAGTGGGAGAAGTGTCCTTTCTACAATTACAGCTAAACATAGCTAACTAAACGTTTCTATCTTCCGATCCGACAATGGGGATTGTGCCGAGCTCCTCCCACTATAATATGTAGCAGCTCAGTTTCTTCTCCGAACGGCATTTCTTGCGTGTTTGTATAGCTTATAACTGAAAGTTTTATCTGCAATGGGAATCCCATCTTGCTTGAGCTTCTGCTATGACGAGAATGATGGGGGAGCAGCACAAACAATGATCGCGACGACGGGGTTAAATTATTAAACCACGCCCCTGAGGCTCCGGCGGAGTTTGTTAACACAAAAGCTGCAGGATCCCCCTGAATTCGTGCAGGGAATTGTAGGAAGTGTTGAAAATGGTATCGTATGCTCAGCTCTGTTATAAATCTCGTGTTCCGAGTGACAGAGGGCGTCCAGTATTTGAAGCTGTAACTCGCTGGGTAACCCGGGGTAGAGGTGGCTTTTCAGTATCGTATGCTAGGATTGAGTCATGACCGAATGACGTACCTGTCTACAAAACATACGTGTCGATATTTGTTTGGCTTTTGTTCAGCGAGAGCTTTGTTAGTGCCATAAGTTCTCTACGGAAGACAAGCTGCTGGCTCTGCAAGAATTGCAGTGGTGTTACGTAACTTCCAACCTCCTCTACCGCCCCACCTTCTCTCTGGGCTATATAGGCGTTCCCCGTCCAATTTTTGCGGGGGGAGAAAAAATGGCCTGGTAAAATCTGTAACAGCCTAACCGTCCAGAGGCTCCTCCAATTTCCATCCCCACAAAGTTGGGGATACCGGATATCTTTGAATATTGTCCGTTTATTTTCGTCCCGCGCGTTGGCGAATGCTAGTGAATGCACGACCTTCGACGACCTATGCTTAGTTTGTTAACAACACAGACCGAGAATTCGCTTGAAACCACACAGAGAGTTGTAAAAATGGATCCAAGTAAGGTACTGTGCATTTAGCTTGGCTCTAGGGCTCCACGCTGTGAGTATGACGGAGTTCTTAGTATTCTTCACTATAGTATCTTTCTTACATGCAGTCAGGTGCAAATCCTCTCCGAATACAGCACGCTCTTTTATCTCCCCATACATTGATGTGTCAGCATAAATTTCATTTACAATGACGCAATTCCTGTGTATGTCCGACCTCCACTTGTCCCAGAGCCAGACACTTTCCTCTCTACCCTGCACAATTAAAGGGACTTGGGCCGAGACTAATCGCCGGGGGCCAGGGTACGTTTGTGACACCAAATTTTCAGAGCCTGGGCGAGGTAGAGTGGGAAATACATGCCCATAGAGAGGATGGTATCTGCTATGCCTTACTTTAGGACAGTAGCATGAAGTATGACCATCAGACTTTGGCTGCTCTTGCTATCGTGCCGCTGTAGCTACATTCACTCCACACACGCTTGTCGTTAGAACCTGGTCCATGGGGCTTTATGCTCTTCTGTGAATCACTTGGCAAAAGTTTTGTAAACCGTCGTAGGGTTAGCTAGTATACAAAAACATAGCTTGGGTCATTATCACTTTCATTAGCATGAGCTCAGTGGTCTTCACTCTAGCTTCTTCTGTGTTTTTCAGCGATCACAGTGTCATGCCCCAGAGACAAAACTGTTAATTAAACCCATCATTACTCGCGTGCTACCTATGCAGCAGTGTCAATGTCGTTTCTGATAGTCCAGAGTCCTTTCCAGAAAGTAGCTAAACATCCTCTGAAGCACTTCGGTGTTTCCTGAAGAGTATATAGCTATACAGTAAATGATTATCCCAATGCAAGCCCTGGAGGTAGCTAGCTGTAGCCTTACTATAGACATTGGTCATGCCCGAGATACAGGACACTATCAAACTGAGTCACAACTTTCAATGGCACTTGTGAACTAGGTCAAGGATATAAAAGACGGCCAGGTAGCTCAGCTCTTTCATTCACCGCTATCACTAGCATAACATTTCTGAACAACCAATACAAGAAGAAGAAAGAGAAGAACATGTCTGGAAAAGCAATCTTCCTGGTATATATCCATAGTCATTCTGGGTGTGGTTTTGGAACATGTGGCCATGGTGGATGCTGTAGTTGGCGGAGTACCTGCCACTTGTAAGGAAGTCGCCTCATTTCAGTGACTTCATATTCTAACAACACTTCCTACCTTAGCTAACTGCTATTTGAGACGGAGGTGTCAAGGCCGAATTCTTAACAGACCATTTGCTGGTCCCAGCTACCGAGAGTGCTGCAGGGGAGGGGGCAAGTCATAGGAAAATTCCTTTAGAGAATGCACTCAATGTCGGTAAGTATATAGTACAAAATTAACAATCTAGGACTGGTATTATTTATTCCTCAATTGAAATTGTTATATATACTTGACTGGCCTTCAGGTGAAGGAAGATGGGGAATCTAGCTTAGTAGAGACAGTAAGAAGCATAACCATTAAAATGTTGGAAAATTGTTATACTACGATTACCCCACTTGAAACTCATGATTTCATATGAGATGAAGTGAATTATTGAACGGCTTGTGGATATTTAACTTCTCAACCTCCTCAGTAGAACTACAGATTACTAACACGGTGTTTGCTTGCTAAGATGAAGTTAGTGCTACGTTTTGTTGGGAGAGGTGGTAACTTATACTTTAACACAGAAGTGCATTTTTTTAAGTAAATCAAAAATCCTACGAATTAAAATTTAAGGATGGTATATACCGTATTTCCTCGAATAAACGCCGCACTTCGAATAGTAGCCGCCCTCGAATAGGCGCCGCACGTAACGTCCGCGCGGTGTAATAGTGGCCGCCCTCGAATAGTAGCCTTATTTAATATTCATAGAGAAATGCGCATGCGTACAATCACGTGACGCCAAACGTTGACGTTAGGCGCCTATATATAGGTGCGAAATTGGAAGCTAGCTAGCAGCCATTTGTGTGCATGAGATGGCAGAGGCTACAGCCAGAAAAAAGAGGAGCTTTGATGCATCGTTTAAGCTGAAGGTCATTGACTATGCGCCTCTCGGGAGAAGGCGTGGCTCCGCGAAGCTAGCGCGCGCCGTGCTCTGCGAAATAAACGCCGCCCTCGAATAAACGCCGCCCTCGAATAGGCGCCGCGGGTTAGTGGCGCTGAAAAAAATAGTAGCCGCGGCTACTGATCGAGGAAATACGGTAGCTATAAAAAGAAAAGGAGGCAAGATAGGGATTGGATACATGAAGCATGGTTAACGAGCAGATTTGAGCACACTGACACTCCCGACCCCACCACACAATCTCTATATTGTGGCTTAGGTGAAGCATTAATTAAACATTCACCGTTTTGTGTTCCTAAAGCTTGAAAGTACAGGTCACAACAATGGAGAATTCTGGAGAGTTTTAGACTATGTGAAACAAGTCGTTGCCCTGGTTTTACAGGATGAGTGCAAGAGAAAGCAGTGAGATGAACGTCAAAGACAAATTAGTGATTCCATAGAGATTTAAAACAACTGTGAAGACCATGACCATAAGAAGATAGTGAAACAGAAAAGTTTGTACAGACATTCATAAAATTATCTGATGAAATATCAAGACTAGTGTGGGCCGACAGAAGGCGTCCACAGGGAGACTCGGAACCAATGTAGAAAGAACAGTTTGGAGCAGGACATGTACCGTCAGAGTGAAACGGTACCGAATACCTCGCGCATGCGAGAAAAGGATTGTGCCTGGCCCTTTTCCAACATAAAGGGCCCGGGAACGAGGTTATCTCTGGGCGTGCCGTTTACGGTAGTTATTAGCTTTACTGCTAACTCAGCATGCGGAGGTAGGGCGTTGTCCCAGCCCCATTTTCGACCTATACCCGACGCTAAATACGTGGTATTGTTTGTGGAGCGATTCATGGCTCGTGAAGTGAGATGTTGGGTAAACAGACCATAGATACTATACCCTAATCTATGAACAGACAGCCCTCGCTGCGCATGCGCGCCGAGGGTCACGGCCTTGCAAAAACAACTCAAATTCGCCGACGAGTGGTTTACAACGGCGAATTACAGTGAACAATGCCGCACTCAATCAACCTGAGTGTGGAGAACTCCTTGCAACAGCTCAGATCTCAGCGTAGAGATCTCCTAGCAGTCTCGCGGGCGGGCCAGAATTTGTTTCCACGCGCTAGGGGTTAGTTCCGGCGCTAAGAAAATGTTTGACTGCCTATACTTGCTTTGGGCTGAGTTGGGAGCGCGGAGGTCGCTTGAGAAGTACCCATATCAATCTGCCTTGAAGCGAGCTCTGACACCGTACCGCCATCATCTATTCGTCGTTTCAGCACTCCTAACACCCCTACTGCAATGCACGTGCATTTACGCCGGAAGAGCGTCGCGTACTTGTCACATGACTGAATGGAATCGGGGTAGAAGAAACGTCCGCGTGGCCCACCCATTCAATTAACGCGTGCGTGTGAACGAAAGTATATGTGGCCGCGATACTCTACAGCAACGACTAACTCAGGTTCACACATAAACCTGAGTGTGGTGAAAAACTCCTAGCAACAGCTCGCTCAGTTGCAAGCATACCTGAGCGTGGAGAAACCCTTAGCAAAAGTTCACTCAGACCTGTACACGCAACAGCAGCATACGTACATACTAGTAGGCGAATGAAGGGTGGCGTTCTTGGCGAGCGAGAGCGAGCACAAATTGACTGTATATACACGAGTCATCCTAGCCAATTTACAGCTTTTGACCTTGAAACCACGATGATGGAAGGAATTACAGCCTCTGCCAGGCACTGCGAATGCTGTTGAATGAATAAGAGTTTTCTGGCTGGCTACATCGCGCATCACCCATCGAGAGGCAGCGTGTATAACAAACCAATGCGCAGTTATACGACGTACGGTCGAAATCGCTCCGCTCGCCAATAAAATAGCGCCATTCGGACCACTAAGGTTACTCGCTCCTGCTCGCCAGTTAGAAAAATCACATCGTTCAGACAACTATCGTTCCCGCTCGCCAATTAGATGTCTTTTGTGGAATCCACCATGGCTACTCTGAAGGACTACCATGATGAGGAAAAACTGCGTGTCTACAGCGAGATGAGCCATTGCGTGGCTACCCTGCATAATTACAACTTAGCCCTGTACATGCCCGTCAAGGATATGGTCATCTTAGACTTACCCTGCGGACCAGGAGACTATGTGCGAAAATACTTCAAAGAAGGTGCAGCAAAGGTTATTGCTATTGATGTGGTTCCCGTACTGATTGACGTATCGCAGAAAAGGGACAAGGAGAATGGTGTACCTGAAGGTTTTGTTGAATACCATGTTCACGATGCCCGAATTCCTAAGAGATTTTCAAACACGTTAGCTGATGTCTGCTCTTGTCTTCATCTCTTTTGTTTTGCAGAAAATTATGATGAGCTACGTTCTATGGCCCGAACAATAAGTATGAATGTTAAACCCCGTGCCTTATGCGCCATAATAGTTTGTTCAGCTGGAGCGAATAAAAAGGAATTTTACAAAGCCTTAGAATCTCATCAAGAAAGTGTACTCCATTTTGACCCCCAATCAAGTAACAAGCTTGTACCAAGAAAGCTTCATTCAGTGTGCAACGATTTTAATTTGATACGATATGTTTGGCCTCATGATGTCATCTGCAAAGCACTCACAGAAGAAGGGTTTTCTAAAACAAAAGTTACTTCCTACAAATTCGACCCCAGCACAGAAAATCCAGACTATTCGGAGCGCTATATTCAAGAAACTGATAGAAAAATTATTACTGCATGGAAAGACAATGACCAATAAATGGTGTAAAAAGACAGGAATAACCTGATAAAGTAATAAATTGATGACAGCTGCATACTGTTCATCAAACTCCCATTTCTTGCCCATTTTGAACTTAGCCCTATTGTTGTCGTGAAGCAAGTGTGCTCCCTTGTATAATAATATATTTAAAATATATATATAGTGTTAGATAAGAAATGCACAGGTGGTTCACTCTCTTCACTCACTAAATTTTGAGTTGTGAGTGCATTGTGGGCAAGTTTTGCATGTTCGCTCAACTAACCAGTTTTACAATGCTGTGTTCTTTGCTCTCTACAGAATCCCTGACCATACTTGCGTTCTTTCCCTTTTGCATTCGATCACATGCATTAACACAATTATGCTTTGAGGCATAATCCACAACATTTGTGGCGTTATGTTTTCATTGCCCGGGACTGTTTGTTGTCGTAAAATGTTTACCTCTCAGATACATCTTTTGGTTTTAGAGGCCGCAAGAGTTATTAGAAAATAGCACGAGAATGCTTTGATGTTGAATGTGTATTCAGGTTTCTTATCCACAAAGACACCTGTTTCAAGTGTCTTAGTAGTCCACAAATACACCTGCTACTAACATGACACCCTGTGGTCACTGTATGCAGCCAAGTATGTCAATTAGTCTAAGTGCGTATTCAGGTTTCTTCGCCACAAAGACACCTGTTTCAGTAGTCCACAAAGACACCTGCTACTAACATGACACCCTGTGGTCACTGTATGCAGCCAAGTATGCCAATTGGTCTAAGTGCGTATTCAGGTTTCTTCTCCTCAACTGTTACAAGCTTCTTAGCAGTCCACGAAGACACATGCTACTAACTTGACACCCTGTGGTTATGCTATGCAGCTAAGTATGCCAATTAGTCTAAGTGTGCATTCAGATTTATTCTCCTCAAAGACACCTGTTACAAGCTTCTTAGCAGTCCACGAAGACACATGTTACTAACTTGACATCCTAGCTGTGGTCACGCTATGCAGCCAAGTGTGCCAATTATTAGTCTTGTACCACAGAAGCCCTAGAAATCAAAAGGGACCTGGCATAGTGCATTCTGTCACCTTTTTTGTTTTAGGTATTATGTAGATGGTGTGTTGCTGGAATTGAGTAAGAGTGGTGTTGGGCTGTTTTTGGGGTTCTGTTTTATGCTGGTGCGTTTTGCTACGCAGACGACATTGTGTTGTTAGCACCTTGTGCGTGAGCCCTACAGATTATGTTAGACATCTGCAACTCATTTGCCACAAAGAGGAAACTGGAATTCAATGCTAATAAAACACAGCTAATTTGTTTTCATCTTCCCCATATGCATCCTCAATCTGCCACTATATTGTTCAATAATGTTGCTCTTCAGTACTCCAGTAAAGTCACGCACTTGGGTCATATCCTCACTAGCACTCTGGATGATTATGAAGATATTGCTCGAGTTTTTAAAGACTTGATTCGTAAAGCTTACTCGGTTTTATGTTTCATCATGTGGATCCTTTTGTGAAGACTTTTTTAATCAAGTCCTATATACTGCCTGCCTCTCTACGGTGCCTCCATCTGGTCTCTGGGTGCAAAACAAATGAGACAGCTTGAAATTGGTCTCAACAAAATTTTGCAGAAGATACCACAGATATTCTCATTCTGGTATTGCAGATTGCGTTGCACCATAAAGAATGCTTTACGGTGCAACGCAATCTGCTAAAAAAGGCCACCGAAAAGTTGCGTGAAAACTTTTAAGTACCACCTTCAAGCTTTTGAAAAGGGCGAGTATAATTATACTTAGTTAGCCAATTCAGTTGAAAAGAGTGCTGCTGCTTTCCGCGTGCAACTGGGGGAAACACATGATGGGCCAGCAACAAGAAAGTGCTTTGTTAGAGCATGGTATTTTTCATCAACCCTGAGCTGTCCCTCCTGCTGCACGCGAGGAGAGTGAGGCTGAGCGTGGACAAGTTTTTGAACAGTCACTACAACCTAAATCAATGTGAGAGATAGGTGTGGGTCTCGTACTTGTTGTATTCAATAAACATTTACGTTGTAGATGGATACGCAGGGGAGCCTCTTAGTGCCATGTATCCAGCCGTGATGTCTGGAGACCTAGGCATGGTCGTAAAATTGCAGCAGGAGGGGCAGCTCAGGGTTGATGAAAAATACCATGCTCTAACAAAGCACTTTCTTTGTTGCTGGCCCGTCATGTGTTTCCCCCAGTTGCACGCGGAAAGCAGCAGCACTCCTTTCAACGGAATTGGCTAACTAAGAGTATAATTATACAGTGGCCTTGCTTACTCGGAGAGCAAAGGTGGAGGTTACTGCGAATATTGTGTATTGTTTGGCCAGGCTCCATACTCGGTGCCCAACTTCAAGGCCACGCTCGTTACTCTTCCACTCACTAACCTAAAAAAGGCCACCGAAAAGCTGCGTGAACACTTTTATGGCTCTCATGGCAGCACACCACGTAAGTACCACCTTCAAGCTGTTGAAAAGGCCAAGTCTTTTAAGAATAATTATAATGGAGCTGGTATCTATTGATCAGCAGCTCTCCAGTATTCGTGCTGAGATTGTTTCCCAGAACAAGAAAAAGATGAAATGCATGGCAGAAACTGTCATTTTTGTCGTAAGGAGGGAATTGCCCTTTGTTATGGAACAGAGATAATTGGAAGCACGTGAAAGATGCTCCGGATGAAAACTCTGGAAACTGGAGCAGGGAAGGGAATTGCCCTCCGTGCTTTGTGACATATAGGGCTTGTGTGGAGTAAAATTTACATATTGTGCAAGAAATGTATTTTTTTACTATATTTGTCTCCTTTCCTTTTGTTACTGCATTCACATGTATTGTGTGCAATAAAAAGGGGGATAATTTTGGGCATAATTTCATTAAAAAAGTAACATTAGTGGCCTTAAGCTATCGCCTCAGACGTTTTGTCGTCACTCACATTACATCAGTGCACCAAGTTTCATTGTGAGATGACCCATCATAAGCAAGTTATAGGCACTGACACCATTTAAAAGTCTTCTTTGCCTGAGGCTGTTTGTTGTTGTTTACAACCTTGTAATTTCTGTTTCAATAAACTCTTTATCATGGTGAATCAGTGTACCAAGTTTCATTCTTAGTGGACCAACCACAATTATTTATAGGCACAAACACCATTCACAAGTTTTTATTGCCTGAGGCTGTTTGTTGTTGTTTACAAACTTGTAATGTTTACATTTTGATACTATTGATGGGTTGGATATGTAAATCAAGTTTCATTGTTAGAGGACCAACCATAAGCAAGTTAGAGGCACAATCACCGTTTACAAGTTTTTATGGCCTGAGGTGTTGTTACTTACAAACTTTTACTGTTTACATTTTGATACAAATGATGGGTTGCATGTGTGTACAAACGTTTCTCGGCTGGTTGAGGGATAACGTGAAGGGAACTGCGGGCACCGCAGCCACTCACACGCAGAAGCTCTTACCCATCCCAATCTTTCAGGTACGGAAAGGCACAAAGGATCTCAGCATGCAATTCTGCTGCACCATCTCACTCAACAATAAACAACTGCTTCCTTCAGAAGTCCCCTCTCATCAGCTCAGCCATTTCAATGGCACTTGGCATGATAGTAGACGATGTACTTGACAGGCAAATAACATCATGATTCCATGTGCTAACATGCTTCTTCTTCGACTTAGAAGCCTTGCCCAACTCGCCTGTTTTTTTCAGTAACATTAGTGGCCTTAACTATCGCCTCAGACGTTTTGTCGTCACTCACATTACATCAGTGCACCAAGTTTCATTGTGAGATGACCCATCATAAGCAAGTTATAGGCACTGACACCATTTAAAAGTTTTCTTTGCCTGGGCTGTTTGTTGTTGTTTACAACCTTGTAATTTCTGTTTCAATAAACTCTTTATCATGGTGAATCAGTGTACCAAGTTTCATTCTTAGTGGACCAACCACAATTATTTATAGGCACAAACACCATTCACAAGTTTTTATTGCCTGAGGCTGTTTGTTGTTGTTTACAAACTTGTAATGTTTACATTTTGATACTATTGATGGGTTGGATATGTAAATCAAGTTTCATTGTTAGAGGACCAACCATAAGCAAGTTAGAGGCACAATCACCGTTTACAAGTTTTTATGGCCTGTGGTGTTGTTACTTACAAACTTTTACTGTTTACATTTTGATACTAATGATGGGTTGCATGTGTGTACAAACGTTTCTCGGCTGGTTGAGGGATAACGTGAAGGGAACTGCGGGCACCGCAGCCACTCACACGCAGAAGTTCTTACCCATCCCAATCTTTCAGGTACGGAAAGGCACAAAGGATCTCAGCATGCAATTCTGCTGCACCATCTCACTCAACAATAAACAACTGCTTCCTTCAGAAGTCCCCTCTCATCAGCTCAGCCATTTCAATGGCACTTGGCATGATAGTAGACGATGTACTTAACAGGCAAATAACATCATGATTCCATGTGCTAACATGCTTCTTAGGCCTTGCCAAACTCGTCTGCTACTCTCTTAAAGTTGAAGAGCTTGCTCCATTTCTTTAAGCTTTCTAAGAGACTTACAGTCGGCTGTATAGCTACTCTTGAGTACATGGATGTATGTGTGAACGACGAGGTAACGAGGTAGAAGGCAAGGCAAAGTCAACTACACACAGGGCAGCTTTTCCTTTTCAGCTCTTTCTTCTCAAGCAAAAAAAGAAGAGCTACCCTGGGTGGGATTCGAACGCACGACACTAGGCCATCACTCTACCAACTGAGCTACCAGGGCAACTTGGCTGGTTTGGGTTTGAATCTACAACACAACGCAACACTAAGGCGAACCTCAAACCACTGTGCTATGGCACAGCATACTCTCACTCAGTATGTAGGAGAAGATTGGGGTAATTACAACACCAAAGATGCGCAACTCCAAACCAAGCAATGTTAACCCTTTGGGCGCCATAGGTGTCTCCTTAAATAAACAGAAATTGATGTATAACATATTAGCGCCTAGTATTATAGCCATATATAAATTCTTATGCACTTATGGAGGCTCTGTGCATATATATATATGTAAATTGCGCCCAAAGGGTTAACCTACGGGCACTGAGATATACCTGATACCGTTTTGAATACCATCTCCAGCTCACATCACAGTTCTTAGACTAACACCTTCGCCCTTTGGTACAAAATCTTCCTTTCTCAAAGACATAACGGATTTTCTTCAGAAAATGAATAGCTAACACAACACTTCCAGCCAATACCTACCATGGACGTGTCTCCACTCTACACAAACATCTTAGACGATGCATAGCTGCATGCAAGGCAGCACTACTATGAAGACCAAGAACCACCTGATTATCTAACATTGATATTTTTACACAAAGAATAATTTAGTTTTTGGAGAAAAACACTTCCTCCAAGCAGTGGTACAGCAATGGGCACTTGCATAGTTCCTTTCTACGTGAACCTGTTTTTGGCATAACTTGAGGTGTCATTGCTAGGCAGAGAATTTACTCTCAAGCCGTATGTCTGGTGGCGTTTCTTCGACGACATTTTTGTCATATGGCAACACGGAGAAGAAAACCTTAAACTATTCGTGGTGGACCTTAACTCCTTTCATCCATCAATGAAGTTCACTGCCAAGTGGTTGCCCAATTCCATCCCCCTTTCTAGACGCTTGTATATAGCTATTGTCTTGCAGGAAGGCTCGCTCTCAGTGGACCTACACAATAAACCTACTGATAGCTACACATCAATACTTTTCAGCAAACAGCTACCATCCACGCCACTGTAAATCATCAATTCCACTCAGCCAAGCCTTGAGAATCCGCCGTATCTGCTCAACAGATGAGAAAATTGTCTCCAACTACAACAACACCCCAGGATACCTACAAGAAACCCCTCTTATGTGGGCAGTTAAACATGTCTGTGATGTCAGCTGGGAAAGTTTGCTCACACTTCGTCAAAGAACGAATAAAACCAACCAGATTCCTCTAATCACTACATTTCTTCCAAACCTCCAGATGATCACTAGGTCTCTCCTTCCAGTATCATCACCCCTGAAAAGAGCACCAGTTATTACGTTCAAAAATCCTTTGAGGCCTCTTAGTCGGTGTGAAGCTAAAACCTACATGATTTGATCCTGCCCGAAGGACTGTGGTAGCTCTATGGATGCCTGACCTGTCAACATGTGGAAACGGGGATCTCATAATACATAACACATCAACGGGTCACACCACGCCACACCACACCACTGCCGCCTCTAAAACATAAAAGGTCATCTACTTGATTCACTGCAACCTATGCCAGATGCAGTATGTGGGTGATACAAAAAATCCTCTCCACATTCGCCTGAATACCCACCGCCATGACGGCCGACATAAGAAAAAATAATTGTGACAAACCTTTTGGAGCATATTTTTCAGGCCCATCCAAGACCTCATTTTTAAATGAGAATTGGGGAGTCAGGATGTTTTCTTCAGGAAATATAGACAAAGCTTTTGGATCAACAAGCTACAACAATGCCTCCTATGTAGGATATATACAAGAAACCCCTCCTTTAATACACTAACTACACCCAGCAAGACTCAACCTCGAACCATGGATATTCCCAAAACCCTTCTCTCTTTTTATTTTTCCTTTTATACATTATGTGAACGCATCAAGTAAAAAATAGGGTGTTTGCCACATTATGATGTTTCCCTGTGTACACGACGAGCCATAATTGTACGGGCGCGGAGGGGAAATCCCTCACGTAGAGCGCAATGTGCGTTGCGCGTAATGCTCTTGCGCGGTTCAGGTGTGGCTAATCGTCCCCATATCGCGCGTGCAAATTCTCTACTACGTAACTCAAACTTGTCCCTGTGTGTCATAACCCCTATTTTTACTTGATGCGTTCACATATGTTTTTATATTCCTCCCCCTTTTTTCCACTGGGTTTTGTCACACTTGCATGCGCAGCGAGGGTTACGGTACTTGGTCTGTGTGTGAGTGTCTGTCAGCAGCTATTCTGTCAGCAGTAATTCTCGCACTACAGGCTACGAAGCGGCCCATGAGCGATACAACCGTCTTCAGAACTACGCGAACCTGAAAAATTAAGGGAGATATGCGGTGAAAACAAGCGAAGAAGCCAATATGCATAAACGCGCGTGTGCACCTCAATAACGTTTTTATAGCGTGGACACCACGAGTAGGCGCTTTTCATTCTACAGGCGATAGCTAATGGAAATTAGCCTCTGTTGCAGGAATGCCCGAAAGAGGTCGACCATAATTCTCGTCAAAGTCGTAACAAAAACTTAGCCTTTTGCGATTGTGTAACCATATATACGACGGAAAATCGCGGATCCTGAAGTTCGGCTTGATCGCCAATATCAAAGCCGGGATACACTACATGCGCATGGTTTCCCTACGAGTAGATACAGTCACATGTTGTCCACTAATCCAGCTCCGTGTAATCGCGCCCGCGCCAACAATCTGACATTGAAACAAAAGGCCGCTTAGGGTACATAGCAATGCAGTATATTGCGGCTAGGAAGTACTC